CCCTGGTGCTGACCGTAGCACTTCCTGTGGACGGCCGCAGGTCTATCCTGCGGGGCCCGTGGGCGAAGAGAAGAGGCAGGCTTCGGACAGGCCACAGAGAGGCCGCGGCAGGCCTGCCGGCTGCCGAGGAGGGTTTGAGGGCGGGGCCCGTGGGTGTCTAACGTCGCCTTCGGAAGCCCATAGAAAAAGCTTTCTGGGCTAAGCTGCGGCCTGCAGGAACGTTTGCGGCCGGGGCCCGTGGGTGAAGAGAAGAGGCAGGCTTCGGACAGGCCACAGAGAGGCCGCGGCAGGCCTGCCGGCTGCCGAGGAGGGTTTGAGGGCGGGGCCCGTGGGTGTCTAACGCTGCTTTCGGAAAAGCCCATAACAAGAGGAGAGGCAGGCCTCGGACAGGCCACCGAGAGGCCGCGGCCAACCACAATGCACCTGCACACATGCCTTTGGAAGTGCTTGGAAGGGTTCTGCAAGGCTTGGCCAACTGCTTCACCCTGCGGTGTCCCAGGCGCCTCCCCGCCTAGGCTTTGGCTATAGGCCGGGGTCGGCGGATATATATATTCCAAAGGCCCTTTCTCGAAGTCATTCGGTTTGTCAGCTGGACGCCATTTTGTAGTATAGGTTAGAGGCCAATCGCTATTAGGGGGAGGCGATCGCTACTAGGTTGGAGGCCATCGCTAGTAGCGTCTTCGGCCAAGTGACACAGAGAAAGCACCAGGGCGAAAACCACGTCGGAACCAATGGTCGGAGGAAGCTGGTATATGGCCCATTCCCATGGCCCATGTGCTCGACACAAGGATTGCTGTCGGTGGAACCGGCACATTGGTTCCATGTTGTGTCGGAAGTCACCTGGCAATTTGTGTTCAACTTTTTGCGCCTCCACATGCCGGTGACACCTTTTTAAATTGAAAAGAGCAGACAAGGGAATGTTCACGTCATCATGGTTTGGCTTTCTAGTTCCGTCCTACACCATCTGTGAAGTACGCGACTTGATATCTAATTCCTGTCACTTGACTCTTGTGTTTCTGACTAAGGCAAGATTGTCTTGGCCTGGTCATTGCAGATACAAACACCAGGAGTCACAAGACGGGGTGCCGAACTTGGAGGAAGTCGGGGTCCCCATTATCCACTCACTGGCTGGTTTTTTTTTTGGTCCCACCCCGTCGAACGTGACTCCTGGCAAGTGGAATTTCGCATGACTTCGTAGGCACCGTGGCACGTCGACGTATATCAAACCCATCAAGTCACAGGACCACCCATTTGGCCGGACACCCACCACACGCCGTGAGTTCACCACCCCCCCGGGTGAAAAACCCAGTTCAACGGGGGGGGACCTCTACATCACCAGGTAAAACTGGAGCCACTGGGTGTGTCCCCCAGTCCCCTGAACCGAGCTTCAACCCCAACCCGAAACGCCTAACCACCGCGAGGGTTTCGGACTGGGACCGGGACAGATCCGTGTTAACGCCGAGGAGCGGCTGGGAACCCGGCGTAGTGAAGGAGGTCCTGTGGTTGAAGGGGCAACGCTGTGGGCCTGTGCCCTACACCGCCCGGGACACCCGGGCCAAACGAACAGGTGAGTCAACAAACGAACAACAGGTGATGGCAGAAGCACTGCCTGGCAGAAGCTTGTTGGAGTCTGGGGATTGTTCTTAAACGTGTTGCTTCACGAGGCTTGGGCCATTCGGAAGTTGGTGTTCAGAAACGAGCAGGACACTGCAACGAGTGGCAGCCACGGCTGTGTGTGTGCAGCAGCTTGATCCTGATTCAGGTAGTCCTTGACAATGGCACGTCCATTTTTGTGCCTCTCGTCGCTTGGACTGCGAGTGCGCAGACCATCGGTCGATGGGTCGAACGCTGATCATCAGGGGCGAAAGAACCAGGGAAAGATAGATGCTGGATACGGGTCGATTGATCAAAGAGACAGCTTGAGGTGCTTTGGTCAAACAACATTTCATTCAACTGCAATTGTAGCGACCCCAGCCCAGGTCACGGGGTGTAACAAGGTGAAACTGAATTTCAACTTTGTAAAGCCGGTACGTGCCCGGGCGGGGTATGACTGGACCCTCCAAAACCACCCGGGCCCCCGTCGTCCCACGTGACTTCGCAACGCATCGAACGACTGGAGTCCCAAAAAACGTGGAATATGCTTGATGAAAACGCCTGGACACCACATTACTACGAAGTCTTAGAAAATGGATGAAACACCTTTGTCCTGGTACCTGACATGACCTGACTGTGTCCTTCTGCTGCCATCGCCCAGGTGAGCCTCATTCGACCGAGCGGCGGGGTGTCCAGCCCGGCTCTCTGAGCCTGTTTCGCTGACCTTGGGGCCGAATCTGAGGGGAAGGATTTGGGGCTGAACAGAGCCAGGAGTTGTTCGATTTGACTATGACTATACATTTGCAGTTTTTTCATGTCTTTTTTCACAGTGGGTTGGCCCGGGCTGGTTGTTTGATGTTGCAAGAGCAAGCACAGCAGCTACTGAACAACTAGGCATGCAGTTGACATTCCATGAAATTGGCCACGCCATTCGAGAGTTAGTTACATTACAGTTACATAATGTTATATAGGCATATAGATAGATCCTTTTGTATGGTAGAAATAGAGTAGCCTTTGATATCCTTTCATTAAAGGAACTATATAGTGGTCCGTGCATTCCCTGTGAAAGAGGAAGACAGCTTTCGATGCGTTTTATTACAGTATTTCAGGTGATTCAGAGGCATGACATGTCCACTTTCACTTGCAAAATTTTAGCCCTCGATGGCAGTTGCTCCCTACTTACAACCCCTATCTATCCCGCCTATATATATATATATATGTATAATATATATTATACATATCATGGCTCAGGGCTCAAGGTTTGGGCTCAAGAACGGCCGATCTGCTGCCCTCCTGGTGGGCACTACGCGAAGGCGGGAGGCCATGAAGCGGCATTACCAGGTCTGCAAAGGATGTCACTCATCCTGGATCTGGGAAGACAGACTTCTTCAACGACCAGAACTATGCTGCAATCAGTGCGGGAGACGATGGCAGCAAAAGGTAGCTCCAGATCTCCGGAAACGGAGGGTGGAATGGGCCGCCTGGAACTTTCCCAACAAGGGACAGCAATGGCCAAAAAAGACCTTTCGAGATGCTTTAATCTCTCCTCCCCCAGGACTTCATGGAGGCCGACCCAACAAGCAGAAGAACAAGGGCATTGAACAGAAGCTGCAGGAGCATTGGTCGACCATCCCAGAGGCCCTGAGGAAGCAGTTGGAAGCCATGGGGGTGAAGGGCTCTGAACCTCCACCACCACCAGATCTTCCAAAGCTGATCAAAGAGCATTTGCAGAGCCTGCCGGTCGAGTTGAAGGAGGAGGTGGAGAAGATCATAGAACCGCCTAAGGTGGAGCCACCTTTGAATCAAAAGTTGAAGCAGGCTGTAGGCACTTTGAAACAGCTGTCTGAAAAGAAAGCAGCAGTCCAAACAAAGGCGGACAACATCAAGCAGCAGTACACTCAGTTGCTACAAGAGTTGAAGGAGACGCAAACCAAGATCGAAGCCGCCCAGAAGGACTTGCAGGAGACTACAAACCTCTACAACCAGCAGCTGGAGAAGGACAAGCAGGTAGAGGATGAACAACCACTTCCTGAGGAGCCAGCGGCAGAAAACCTGCTGACTGTCATGGCCAGCATTGGCCTAACAGCCACTACGGAGCAAGTCAAAGAGTTTGCCCAGAAGCTGAGTGAGAATGTCATGAAAAGAAGGAAGTGTGGGTAACAACCAAGCAGACAATTGCAAGCCCAACCTTGACGGGAAGAGTCGTACATGTCGTGCGGACCACCTAGGGGATTTTGGCTCAGGCAACATGGGTGGGTAAGCCCGCGTTCATCCGTGCCCCAGGTGCTGCGACGACTGCTTTGATGTTGAACTGAGTCAACATGTTGGCAAACTCTCGAGAGGTGAACTCTGCGCCTGCATCGGTGTGGAGCTCCAATGGGGCTCCGGCCCCCTGCAACCATCCGGTCACCACCTTTTCGATGGCATCCTGACTGCTCTGACCCGGTGATGAGCAGGCAACATGGTAGTTGGTTCCGTAGTCAATCATATGATGGAAATGGTATGGGGTCCCGCTTGCGGCTGTGTATTTGATGCCGTCGATCCCTACTTTGTCATTGAAGTCAAGATTGTCTTTGATGGTTGCTGGCCTTTGGATTTTTGGCCTCTGTTCATTCTGACATCATGTTGAACACTTCATGTCTAGAATCCCTTGACTTAAGGATGGTTCGTGACCCTGTTCACGGAGTTGCCTCATGTGGGAAGCCAGCCAATGACGTGCTGGCGCTTTTCAGGGAGAACGACAATTTCCCTAGTTTTTGTGGAGGAGAAGGAGAAGCTGAACCCATGGACAATGACCAGGACTTGACCATGGTACAGGAAGAACCTCAACCAGCAGGACATCATGCCACGACCACCCGGAGCAGCTTAGACTACGTGGCGCAGAATCTACAATGCAGGTTGGGGAACTATAGAAATCGATGCTTTGCTAATGGACCGTTCAGGCTCTGGGCTTGGGCTGGGAGCTTCTTGAATGGTCTAGCACTATGGAACCACCCAAGCAGCGGTCATCCACAAGCACCATTGGCTGCCAAGATCTACCTCCAGAAACCACTCAAAGCCTTCTGCAAAAAGTATCCCAGTCCGGATAGCAATCCAGGCCTACACCTACATCAAGGTCAAGATCTCAGAAAAAAAGACCGGGTTCGTTGCATCGAACATCGAGGCCAAGCGGCTCCTTCAGCAACAGCTTCCACCAGGAGGCCCCATGGTACACGACATCATGAGGGACTTGGGAGTGGACTGCGCAGCAGGTCGTTTGTTTACAAAGACGAAAGAAAGCAGGAAACAAGACCCGGAAAATGAATGCGCTGAAGATACCACAACGTGCAGTGCGCCTCAAGCTGTATAAAGGCAGCATCCAAGCTGGGATCAGCTGGGGTCATCAGGCCATGGGACTGGCCCCACAGACCAGGCTCAAGCTCAAGGCAGCTATGGCGAGGCAAAGGGGCTGCAACGCACCGGGAACATGAACATCCTGTACGACATGCAACCCAGACACAAAGATCCGGCCTATGAGGCTTTTGTGGCTCAGGTGAAAGTGTACCACAAGTTCTTTGGAACTGGCCAGAACATCTTCATCGTGACATGGAGAAAGCATGGAAGGTCATGAAGGAGAGACTCCACCAGGCCAAGCATCCATGGCAGGTGGCGCGAGGACCAGTTGCAGCTCTGATATGCTACCTGCATGACCATGGATGGCGCACAGACCGATATGACCTTTGGACCAAACGGGCAGCAATGGAGAGGAGGATGACTATACCCTCAACATGAGATCCAGTTGGCGTTACCTCAAAGAAGAGCTGGCAAGAGCACAAGTCAGGGAGCGCATTCAAAGCTTTCAGAGAAGACAAGCGCTCCAAGAAATTCAACAACCATTGGATTGGCTGCCGTGAGGAGATTGGACAAGCAATCCAACACCAAAACGCGGACAGCGCTTCAGACTTGGCACCAAGGGGCAATCTTCACCAAAATAGCTGAAGGTCAAGACGGCAAGCGCCTGCAAGGAGACGAACCGACATTTCCCTCCGCTTCCAGCAGAAGTCAGTACGGAGCTTGAGCAAGGCATCAACCTGGAGTTCTGGTCACAGGCCTATCAGATCTCCACTGGTGGTGCAGCAATTCAGGCTTGGGGATCATGGACGGGGCTGGACGAGATCCCACGATGCTGTGACCATTGGCATAGCAACCACAAGCAGGAACAGCCGACTACGACGCTATGTGGTCACCGTCCTGCACCACACCATGTTTGGAGGAGAAATGTACAGAATGGGGTACTTCCTGGCAAGCAATCCATTGAAAGGGCATGGTGCTATGGGCTACGCATGATCGCCCACTATGTTGACTTGCAAACCATGGTCAGGGTGCATGTCCTGTCAGTGAAGGCCTGGCAGGCCTAGGTCAAAGGAAAACACTATGACCTCTTCTATGACCTGGCAAACCTGGTGACTTGGGATCAACGACAACGAATTCGGGCATTGAGTGTGACCCAACAACAGATCAAGAGCATGCCAGTGACAGGCCTCTCTCTGAGGAATCGATACAAGGATGCCAACAGGGCAGCTACCGAGTTTGCACTTTCCAAGCAGCCTCACGAAGTAGAACAAGAACTACAAGAACAAGACCAACGGTACAAGCAGTTCGCACCAATGGCAGCTGAGAGGATTCGGTTTCTCCTCGAAACCCGGGACCATTTCATGCATGGGCAAAAGGCCAGTGGGAAAGAACTCCGACAGAAAGCCAGAGATGAGAAGAAGGGCCTGTACCTTGAGATTGGGGTTACAGGCCACGAAGGAGGGCACCAATGGACGCCAAAAGGCCGTGGACTTCAATGCAGGCACTGCAAGAAGCAGATCCATCAACAGATGCCCATGGCCACCTTGAAAGAGGCCAAATCACCCGCATCTTGGCTGAGAACCCCGTCGACGGCCACCTGTTTCAGACGCAGGCCAACTACATCGTACGCCAGAAGTGTGGGGTTCGAGCGCTAACAAATGCAGCCAGAGAGAAGATCCAAAGCATGCATGAAAGCCCTTGCTGGTATGGCCCTTGGACACCAGGTCCACACTGGGTTGGCAATCCTTCCCACAGTATGTGGCGGAAAGGAGCAAAAGTGTACTGCCAGCATTGTAAGTGCTTTGCCATCAACAAGGCCGAAGGATGGCATGCAAGCAGGATGTTGCAAAAACCATGTGCAGCTGATGCCACACGGCAGACACAGTTGCCGATTTGCTTCAAGGCCAAAAGTAGGCCGGAAGGAGACGGAGATTGCTGAAAAAGGTCCGAAAAAATATGAAAAATATACATATCATCAAAACAAAGTCACATGAACTAGACGAAGAAGACAGCCATGAGGGCTTTGTGCTTTTGAGGGCACAGCTGGAGTCCCAAATCTCCCTCTGACGACCCTTCGAACCTGATTTTTGGCCCTTCGAACCGGCGGGCATGCCGCAATCCACGCCGCATGCGAAGCTTTACTCAGTTGAGGGGTGGATTCATCACCAAGGGGCCAACCTAGAGGAGCCGGCCAAAAGGATGCAGGTGGCTGCAAGCTGCCTGTGCCGTGCGTGCGAAGCTGAATTGAAGCTGCAGGGGTGTCAATAGCCAGTGTAGGCGAGTGTAGGCCATCTGAAAGGATTGGACCAGGAGGCATGAGACGTGAATAACCGTTTCTGTGTGTTACCCTCTGACTCAGTAACATGGAAGTGGACACTGACCCCTATATTCCTTTGCAAGACAGGGTCAGGGCGCTTTCCACTTCCATGTTCGGGAGTCAGAGTGGACACTTGTCGTGTAAAAACTTGGGGTCGGTGAACATCAACCTCGAGCATTGGTGTGGATGTCTTTCTGTGCGACTCACCCGCCCGACCGCGCACGCATCAGCTGTTGTGGGTCAGCGTTATCCCAGATATCCAAAGATCCACTTTATGGGGCTGGCAGCCATGACTATGAGAGCTGCACTTCTAGCTTCCCTCGTGATTGCGCTGACGTGTCTTTGATTGGAGAAACCTGTTGCCGATTGATTTCGTTCAGGGCTTGCACTGAACTACACATTCAGAACTGAACGAAGAAAGACCCAAGCACAGCATCCGCAGACAGAGAGGTCGCCACCCCATTGGTGCATGTCCGATCTTCATGTTCTTGCCTGAACTCTGCGAGGGCAATGTCTTTTGGATTCAGCATTTGTGAAGGGGAGTAACAGGCGGTAGGCCGTCACCCAGCTCACCGAACGAACACCCTACATCCGCATGGCGCAAGCCCAGCCACTTAACAATCCGAGGAGAAACCTAGTGGAGCCACGCAAAAAGCCGGTGGCCTCACTCCGAATAAAGCTGACCTCCGCTCACTGAAGGTCCTTTAGGGGGCCTCGGACACCAGAATCGTCGACTGTCCCGGCCCAACCAGAGTCTTATATCGCGAAGCTGCCTCTACCCCCATGGATGAAGGAAGTCCAGAGTGGTTTGTACCAGCGAAGACATGATGGGGCAATGGTTTCCAGCAAGTGATGGCTCCAGGTGCCATGATCCATCTCCAGGTGCCCTGACCCATCTCCATAGTAAGTCAAGTCCAGAGCTAAGTCCGGTGAATCTGATGGGCCAATCGTGTCGAATCTGAGGGGAGGGCAAGACATTCCCTTGGGTGTCTATGGTCCAGTCACCACCCGCTCCCAGCTGTATTTGGCACTGGTGGTTTCTTGGCAAACGACGCGAAGACGACGCTCTTGGATGGTGCGAAGGCTCCGTGTAGACTGTTGATTTCGAATCTTTATCTTGGGGTTTCGATGGTTTTCTTAGGAATCAACCGTTTACATTCATGTTGCTGGTCCCCACAAGACAGGAACGGGGCACTTACATCAAACTGGCCGCTCAAACCGGTGTTTGGTGAGGGGACTAAGTCCCTGTCCGAGGACGACGGTTCCGCGCGGTTGGGCTTCGTGGGACCCGACGAATGGGCTTTGTGGGCACAAACATGCTTCTCATAGGTTCTTGTATAGGGTCCACTCATTTCGTGGGTTCTTGTATAGGGTCCACTCATTTCGTGGGTTCTTGTAGGGTCCACTCATTCAGAATCTGGTCCAAGTGGCATTCGTGGACATTGTGTTTGGTGTGTGCCTGCACTGCGCAGCCCAAGTACGGACCCAGTGTCTTTTCGAAACTACTCAGCACCAAAATGAGTCTCCAAAAAGGCACCGGACATGGATAGAGAACACCTTCGATTCTTTTGGCGCCTGTTGAAGGCCCGGACTCGAACAAAACGACCTGCAAAAGTTGGGCACTGCATGACTTGCTGCATGACTAAACTCCGACCGTAGAGTCTCATGATCCGCACGACATCGCCTACATACATTCGTCTCATCAAAACGAGCTCATGACCACCTTGATAGAACCATAGAACCCTTCCTTCTCTCTCTCTATCAATCCATGGCTTTCCAGACTTCCCCGAGAGCACCACAACGGCCGCCGAAGGGCGAATGATCGTGTCACTCCATCTTCTCGTTGAGCTCTGCAGAACGGGGCCAGGTGTCGGTCTTCGCCCCTGGCGGTATGGCCCGACGTAGGTGAAACACCAAGAGGTTCCGGGTTTTTCCACCGACCTTTTGCTTCGCAGTTGATCCAGTTGATCCATACCATACTTCCAAATCATCTAAATCTCTTTATCCCATATACAGATTCTGTTGACATTCTCTCAAACCCCTCCACACGCAAGTCATCCTGTTGACACCAAGACTGCACCAAAAGTCCGACCAAGACTGCACGCGAGTCAGCTGGGCGGAACCCAACACCTGCGAGCCGCGAGCCGCGAGAAAGACCTCGCTGAGGCGAGCTTTGACCTGGACCTGCGAAAGAACTTTGAACCGGCGCTTCGCTCCCGCCTGGGCGATCCGATCATTCAGATTACTGACTTGTCACCTGGAGAAAGAGAGCGGAGAGGGGTGGGGGGCTGGTAACCTGGAATGGGGAAGGAGGAAGCTCGGGAGTGGTGGAAGAGGTGGATGGATGCTCAGCCCTCCCTTTTTCGGCTCTCCATCTTTTGGGGGGCCGAAGGGGGAGAGAGGACTTCGAAAAGGATCCTTTTCCGCAGCGCGTCGGAATTTGGGGGGATATGAATGGGTGCGGCAGAGAGTTTTGGTCTCTCAGTTCAATGGCAGGTGGGGGTTTTGGACGATGGCCTGTGGCTGCAGGTAAAGGTCTTTTGCGATAGATGCTGTGATCATACCGATGTGTTGGTGTGACTTGGACGTTGTTGTATTCTTTCCCTACCACGTCTAGAACAAACAGGTGAACAATCTGAGGAACGTCGGATTCAAATCATTGGGTTGATTCCCAGACAGGTTTGACCTTGTTCCATGATGGGCCGTCATGGACTCCAACACCTGAGGTGTTGAACATGTGGATCCACCCTCCTCCCGTGAGGTGCATTTGTGAACTCCGGTCCTTCTGCCTGGCCCCTGGAACAGGGCGTTTTTTGGGCCTGCGATATCTGTTTTGGTTGCGTTCCTTTCGCACAAAATGAGGCAACCGGAACTGGCCAACATCAAGGTCCGGATTGGAAACAGCGCTGGCACGTTTCTTGGCATGTGATTGCTGCCATCTCCCATCATGTTTGTACTGATCTCCTGACGATTCCTGACGCTTTGGACAAGCGAAGCTTTGAAAAAGGGGCCACTGGGGCTTGCCAAAAGCCAAGCCAAGCACCAGTGTGGTTGGGTTGGTGGGGTGCTTGTCGGGGTTTTGTGGTGGATTGCTACGTAGCAACTCGGGTGTTTCCTTCCAAAATTCAAGTCCTACGTTTGGTCTTTCTAGGTGATGTTTGCAATGAAGGGTGTTTGGGGGGGAGAAGCGCCGGTCATTCTTTTGCAGTGGTGTTGCAGTTGTTAGTTCACGTCGATCTGGTGTTGTTCATGCGGCTCCCTCCACCTGATCCCACAAATTCGCACACAGACAAGCCCATCGAATTAACCCAACTGCTGCATGCTGACGAAGAAATTCTGGGTTCACCTGGTGACCATGGGCTTTGTAGATTGGAGTCAGCTCTCCTCGTTCGGACAGGTTCCGCGCGGAAAGCCTTGCCTTTCCCCCGTTCTTCGGCACGTGACGGTCGCCCGAGGGCGAGCACGAGTGTCCGCCCCCGAGGCCGGAAACCGGCGTGGCCACGGCCTTGGATTTCATGCTGGGCCTCGATGGGGAGCCACCCATTGTCGGCTTAGTGACTTGGTCGCGGCATGCGAGGGGCGAAGCGAGGGAGCTGCAGCGAGGGAGCTGCAGCTGTGGTGAAAGAGCAAGGTGAGAAAGGGTGGGAGCAGGAGATGGGTGAGGGGTTAAACATGGTTGAAAGACCGGGGAAACTCACCAACCTTTAAATGAGGTGAACAAACCAACTCTTAAATCAGCAGTGAACTTGAAACTCGATGAATATCGTTCACTGTTCACAGAATGTTCACATGAGGATTAGACTTAAAAAAAAGGGCCCAAACCGGTCCGTGATCACATCCTTTCGCCATTCAGCATGATTGGATTGCTGGACATTCCATTCGCTTCCATTCGCTTCATCCACCGGGTGGCCGACGCCCATTCGCTCCGTTGCCACGAGCGAAGCCTGAGAGGGTGGGGTGGTGACAGGTGGACCACTCGGAACCTGAGGAGATGGATGGGTTGCATTGAAATGGCTATATATATATACACTGTAAATCACAAAACAAACAAACCAAACTGTTGTTTGGTGCCAGTGAAGGTCGTTGACATGTCATTGAGTTTGGTTTTGGTGGTCTTTTTGTTCGAAGACAGCACATCACCGGCTTCATCACTGGTGGCATAGTCTTTCACAGTCTTTCACTTCGTTGTCTCGTGTGACATCCGATTTTTCTGGCATCTGCCACTCCATGAAAGATTGGAATCCATCGCCCCAGAAAGACCCTGCCATGATCAATCGTCATCCATCGTCCCTTGACCGCCATGATCCTCCGCAGGTCGGTGGTGTCTTCTCGGTGCCTCGGCGGGAGTGCGGAGTGCGGAGTGCGGAGTGCGGTGCCGGAGCCGGAGGACGGGGGGCGGAGGGGCACGTGCGGACTTTTGGGGTACATGGTGGGTCAAGAAGTGTGTTTTTCCTTCTCCGGAACTTCTCAGGTTGATCAAGGGGTCATGAGGTGACGAAGTTTGCAAGATTGATGGGTTGGAAGAAGTTAGCTTCTTATTCTGGATTGAACATCGGGAGATCCTCCAGTTTGACCCCCTGACATTTGGACAGAACGATGGAACATTTAGAAGTATAGTACCATTCCCAGAGACTCCATGAAAACCGAACTGGAATCCATAATCAGATGCATTGACCCCCAAATCAACCACCCCAATGCGACTGCATTTTTGGGGGTGGGCAGCCGCCCTAGACAGGGCGGTCGTGGCCCCAGACGCCCTCTTTGACTCACTCGGGCTTTGACCTTCGACTCGGATGCCCCGCTGGATCCGTGGACCGATCCCCAAGTCCATCTCAATGCCCATTGCCAGTGTGGCTGCCGTGCAGAAGCCTGGAGAGCAGGGAGTTGGGAGTGACCTGCGCGCGGTGGTGGCGCGCGCACCGGTGCGCGCATGTGGCAGCTGGCGTAAAGAGAGCGTTTTTATGCTGAGATACACATCTCCAAAAAGAGCAATATAAATATATATATATATGAATGTATGACATTAATAAATAGATATATTTTGATTTGTCCATTTCACCTTGACAACCATGCCGGATCCTTCACAGCTCGAGGTGGGTGGGTGAGGATAGCTTGAGCGACAGGAAACAGGGTCGGTGACAGGGGTGACACAACAGGGTTGAGTCTAGGTAGGCTAGGATTGTTTGAGGGTTTGGACCATCGGTTTCGCAATATATATATATACAAGATGTGTGATGTTGTGCGCATGCGCCTGGGGAGTGTTTTCATGATCAATGGCAGAAAGGGCTTTAGGCTTTAGTAGGCACGGAGCATAGAATCGCAGGCGGGACGCACCGGAGGCGTTGGCAGTCGGTCTGTGTGATCCAGCGCTAAGCTGCTTCAAACCAGAGCTGAGAGCTGTAGCAAAAAAAACATTGTAAGTCATGTTCAGAGCAAACCAGAGGGTGATGGAGATGATTTCCATGTCGGACATGTCCTCCTCTTAATTTTTCTGAGATCTCTTGCTTGTTGCCCATGCTCGCCGCGTTCTTCGCCCGAGGAAAGTGACGCAAATCTCCTACGGATCCACCAGCCCCGCACTCTCGAACAAGGAGCGCTCGAACAGAGAGTCGAACCAGATGAAGCGCCAAGGGGAGACGGGAGACGGGTGTGGACCATTGAATAATTGAATATCATTGAGTAGACAAGCTCAAAGGGGTGTTTTATACAAAAGCGCGAGACTTGTTTTTCTCTCAAACCATCTTGTACATGTCAAATCATCAATGTAGGTGGCATTTGCAGGCACATCCTTCGCTCCCAGTTGACTTGTGCTTGCAGATCCCTACGTCCCGGACGGTCCGCGCGGCCCGCCCTACTTCCTCAGTCCGTCGCGTGGCGCGTGGCCTCAGGACACCTATCCTTACTTCCTTCGCACCGTGCCGCCCGACAGCATCCAGGGGCAAGCCTTTTGGAACTGGATCGTGGCCTTCGAGGCGGGCGGCGCGGGCGTGGGCGCGGCTCGCGGCTCGCGGCGCGTCCCAGCCGGGTCGGAGCGGGGCACCGGAGCAGCACTGTTCTGAATGGGAGACCCAGACTACAGTGACTACATGGGATTCCAAAATCAATGCCGTAGGTGACCCCAAATCGACCCCTGTCTGGGACTGCAAGTTGGTGTGCTGTCCCAATGGGCGGTCGGGACGTACGGATATGAAGCCATGGGATATGATACTCAGCGGAACATCCACCCTGCTCTGAAGCGGAGCCACCATGGGGTGTTCAATGAAGCTACCGAGTTGGCAGATACAGCATGCAGACAAACCGATACAGCAAAGAAAGGCGGCTTTCATGTGGATCAGGGACGTTTCGGTCAATGAAGCATCATTAAGATATATTAAGATCATGAAGCTATTTCGGTCAATGATTCTTTTTAACGAATGCTTCTTTGATCTTCTTTGGTTCGAGGACGTCAGCTCTGTTGGCTCCCCGTTTTTCAGCGCATGGAAGCTCTGCCAGGTGCCGATGGCGGTTTGCCTCTATGCTGTCGAGCCCTACGGTGGGGGTTCTGTCGTATGACGCGTGTTGTTCGTGGTTCTTCACTGACATGGAATTTGGATGAACGAAGACGTCCAAAGCTAGAACCGAAATCCAGATCCAGGGGTTGGGGCATGCCTCCAATCTCTAAGAGTGTGGGTTTTCCTTTTGGAGATTCCTTCTGGTGGTTCTTCCTCTCGATTCCTCTAACTGGCTCGGTGTTGAGTATGGTTTAGGGATGAACGGTTCATCCCGTGCCGGGGTCGTTGTGCCGTGGTCCGACTGCCGCAGAGCACCGCCGGTCTTTTCTTCGCAGCGTCGGTGTTGAGTAAGCGACCCCGGTAGAGGCGGTACGGGTGAGAGGCCGAGCGAAGGTGAAAACAGCCATCAAGTCGAAGCTTTTATGTTTTATAACCCAAAGGCTCATTGGACCCAATCCGTTCGCGGTCCGGGTGACATGACCCTAAACCAGCCAGGGTGAAATGGGCCGAAGAAAAAACATGTAGCAGTTGGTTCGGGTCCATGAGCCTCTGGGTTATATAGTTCATTCTATAGAGTGGCGAAGACAAGTGCTTGACCTAGATGGGGCGAACCTTCACCGGGACACTCTCAAAAAGCCGCGTCGCGCTTAAGAAATATATATAGTCAACTCTTTTACATTTTTACAGGACTTCAAGGAAGATGGTTTCTTTCTTCAAAGACGAAAGGACAAAGACTTTGGGCAACTCAGCCATCGCAGGGCAACTCGTTAGGAGCACGAGGACGATTTACCGCTGCACTAGAGTAGTAAACCTGCCGTCATCGGGCCTTCGTCGGCGGCGCCGTCGACCTGTTCTGAACCCCAAGGTCCGCCCCAACCAACCGTGTTTTACAGCGCCGCCATGAAACGTTCCCCTTTGCGAGGCCAGGGCCTTTTCTTGGCCATTGAAGAACAAGCCAAAGCAGCTGGGCAGGAGATCGTGCGAACATGTGCACGACCCCAAGCGGGCGCCAGGATGACTTGCCACGTCATGGCCGATGATTTGGGGTGTGGGAGAAAGCAGGCCGGCGCACGATTCTCCGATTCTCCATGCTAAGATCGGTTCACATCCCTCTAGGATAGAGGATGATAGAGGAATCTGTGGATTGTTAGGGGCCCACCAGGGTTAATGTAGACTCTTGATCAATAAACCCTCCCAATTGAATTGGAAAGGGTTTTAAACCCACACCCATTTTGCTTGGACACCCGTGCTGAGTCGTGTTCCTTTTTGTTGATCCGTTTTTTTTTTCGGAGCTCAGAGCCGCAGAAAACAGCGCCGCAGCGGCTCAGCTCATGGCTTGGAAGATCCGAGAGCAGTCTTTTTTTCATGGTTCGAAGCCTAACAAACTCGAGACGAGCTCCATTCAATAAGACGAAGCCTAACAGTACTCGATGCTTGGTCCAGTCTAGTTCTACATCTCGATCTCGATCTCGCAGGAGGGTCGCCTGAAGGGCGTGAGTGTTCGCTACATGCCCAACACGTTCGTGGTGGCAGAGGCACAGCTGCGGGGGGGGATCCATTACCACCCAACTGCCGGGTCCCTTCGCCCTTTTTCTGGCCTTTTCAGGCATTTTATCCAAACCACCGTGGTAGGTTGACATGTTTGATCATTGTCATGTTCATGTAGTCCATCTTGGTGAGACTGAATACCGTTGAATACCCTCGCTGGAAGAACTATTTTGACATATTCACACCGCTTCGCGGTAGAAGCCGCCCGCACAGATTAAATGGATAATGTATCAGTAGCACCCCACGAGCGAGGATACGGGTTGGTTACTGGCACGGGAAGCAGCAACATGTGCTGTCGGAGCCGGTCTGTCTCGGTATGTCAGTCTGTCTGTCTCGGTCGGGCAGGACACACGGACGAACGCACCCACGATGTCAATAATGCAGTTTCCTTCGGGCTGCATAGCCGGCATCGCGAACCTTTACTTCCGAAGCCACACAGTTTTTATCCATCTTTAAAAAACATCAAAGACCATCAAAAACATAACACTTCCCAAACATGAAAGGCCCCCCCCCAAGCTAAAACTTATTTTGTAAGTGGATTAATCCATCAGCTATCTTGCGGCTTGCGCGAAGCCTACACAAACGCCTCAACACCTTCGGTGCGGGCGGATTCTATGGCTCACCTGGCTGTTCACCGGCCTGTTGTTGATTTTAATGGCTCGCCTCTCTTTTTAGTGTGAAATCCTTAGTGCAGCAGCTGGTGGTTCGGTCAACACAGATAAAATTCCATGGTGGGCCAGGAAGGCCAAGTTTAGGACATCAAGTTCCTTCCCGTTTTCGCTATACTGTACGCTCGCCCCACCCGGTTCAGGCAACGGAGTCGTGCCGCATTGCGAAGTCTTTGGGTTCGCGCTTCATCTTCGCCACGCGGGCTGCAGAGAATGGATTCTTCTGTCGAACTGCAGAGCAGAGATCAGACGTTTACTGCGGGTGAAGGACCATTTTTGGTCTCGATCATGTCTTTTTGAATGAAAAAAGGAGTTCAGATCTTCAATTGTTCCCGATCATCGCGGAGTTTGTGTGTTCTGCGATTTTTTTTGGGTCCTTTTCAACAAAAGCAACCTTCTTCAGATATCAACCATTATCAAATTTCTTTTGTGTTTCATGAGAGAGAAAGCAACCAAAGGGAAGGACGTCGACTTGCATATGATCATTTTTGTGATGTTTCTCACAGCTGGCACACTGCTGGCCCACGTTTTGGATGACCCAAGCTGGAAGCTCATGCTTTGCTCCCACAGATGATAGAAGAGGCCAAAGACCAGTCTTTCCCTTTGACTCTTGCCGCTTGCCTGAACGCAACCCATTTTCGGACCACAAAATAACCGTCTTTTCGCAAGAAACTCTTCCCGGTTTCCCTTTTTTGACCGTGCTTCTAAGGAGTTCGCTAGTTTTTTAAGTATTTTTTTGTCCGCCTCCTTTCAGGTCTCCATGAACAGCCAGATGAGCAACGAGTTTGTCGTCGTGCTGCGTGATGCCACCCGCCGACTGTAAGTGCCACCTGTGTTGGTCGGTCGCAGATCTACTCGGTTTGGGTCGAGGAGGATGCGCTCCGAACCGTTGACCGGTGAGCTGGGTCGTATGGGTCCCTCGTGAGCTTGCTTCTTGGTTGGAGAAAAAGAACGCCTTGCTTCTGCTGATGAGAGAGAAATTCGGAGGGTACCTTCTTGGAATTCTGCAAACTTGGTGTACCATCCCTAGACTTCCAATGCGTTTGCACCCTACAGTCCCTACAGAACCAAGCAAATCATGACAGGACTGCGGCCGGCACCTGATTCGGATGGAACGTGCTTTTTCAAGTCCGCGTCCGAACTCATGTTTGGATTCAATGACATATCGTTACATATCTCTTACTCCATACGGGAGGGGGCTCCTTGCCTTACTACTTGCTAGGGGCTCCTAATAGGAGCAAGAACGGTGTTCTGATACTCCTTTGGTCCTTACTTGTGCTTTTAGATTCAATCTATATAGTGGTTCCACTCAGCTCTATGGCTCGGCTTGCAGCTCTGAAGCCTGAAAGCCTTCAGCGCCCCAAGCCCATCGCTCTGATCGTCACCAGCGGCCGGTGGGCGGAACACGCGTCACGCCGGAAGCCCATTCGCATCAGGAAGGCATGCTGCAGTCCGGTTGGCAAGTTCTGGGCTCCGAAGCCTTCACGCCGCCCCTTGGCGTGGACGTCCTGTCCATCGGGCCGGACGACCTTTGGCAACGGCGACGACGCCGTGCTGTTCGCAGCGCGCGGGACACGCGGCGTGACACACGGCACGCGGCGCGACACGTCGGCTCAAAAGATCGATCTCGAGTCCGCGGCGAAGGAGTTCGGCGTAGGTGACCGTCGGTGCTCAGGTATGGGCCCACGATCTTTGAAGCCGACTTGCCGGTGGGTGTGATGCGTTGGAACCCTGTGAGCAGAGGCGTGAGGGGCTGGAGAGCGGCGAGCCGACTCCTCGAATGGAACTTCCTGGGCCTTCCTCTCAGCCGCAGGGACGATCCAAGAGGATCCTTCCGAGGCCCAAGGTAACCCGATCGACACGACTGGCACTGGTGAGGGTTCAGCTGGCACTGGTGAGGAGGGTCATCCCAGCTGAAGCAAGTCCGGATCCAAGGGAAGGAGTTGCAAAACCAGTGCCTTACAGCTCACAAAGGCCATGACAGGCCTCCCCAAAAAAACGGGTCCTGGGTCTTCTTTGAGGCAGGCACTCAGGTGAAGTGAAGATAAGCGAAGTCTGGCTTTTGACTGCGTTTGTTTGGCTCTTGGAATGCCCACCTGAGTTTTGGCGGGTTGCCTGAAAGATCAAGCAGTAGAAGTCAATGCCAAGAATGCCACTGCCACCGTGGCCCTGGCAGAGTCTGGCGCCAACCATGGCTTTTCCGGGGGGGTCGGTATGTGACCAGCTACCGAGACAGATCAACCGATTTCTCTAATACTGTGCTGATCTGTGCTGTATGATTGCTTGCTGAACATGCGCCAGTCGAAAAACCGCTAAACGCTTCATGAAACTGCGCCCGTCGCCCGTCCATGCGCCTGTCGAGTCGCCCGTCATGCGCGTCGCGTCTTCCTCTTCCCCCAAAGGGCCAAAGAGGACGGCCAAACCGCTCCGGTGCCAGGCACCAAGTTTGCCAACTTCACGAATCTGTGGAGCCAGTTGACCGTGAATGCTCCTCGGATCCGCCCTGGGCCGGAAAGGCGTTTCAGCTCCAGGCGTCCGGTCCGACCCAAACCCGGAGGTTTCGATCTGAACCACAGGTAGTATAGTGGTTGTGTGCGTGTGTGCGCGTGTGTTCTATTATCTTTTTTTTTGACTGGGTTGCATGGGCTGGGTGTGTTCCAGACTGGAACACTAGATGTCACGATTGGCATTTTTGATGGGCATCAACAGAGTTGGGGTGGGGATGAGTGCCTTTTTGGCCCCAAGAGAACGCGCGCAGAGTTTGGGTGCACCGAGCAAGATTGGTTGTCTTGCATTTAAATGCTGAATAGTGTGTCGGGACAAAGACCACGGGGAAGACCAAACTTGGACTAGAATGTATGTCCAATCGAGCAGTCTGTTCGATACAAAATAGATCCTTTATCCAGGGGTCACAAAGGGGTGGTGTTTGGTCCCTAAGTGAGTGGATAATGGGCACCCCTAGCCTCCAATAGGCACCCCTTTGTGACTCCTGGATGATCCTTTCATGTTCACCTTGCAGCTCTGTGTTCCTGACCTGGCCGCCCACGCACGCACGAAAGCGTCATCTCCAGCGGCTCGACGAGGATGTGATGTCAGCTGATGCCCGGTCACGTTACAAGTACGACAACTTCAAGGTGCTGGCACAGAAGAACAAACGGTGGAGAGAAGTGTTACTTCTGAATACCTCTGAATACTGACTCAAGATCCCAAGATCAAAGACCAAGGTCTCAGTCCTTTTGCCGGTCCATTTCATTCCTCTGAACCGAGGTCTTCTTTCGTTCGAGCCCTCCCGAAAGAACCGAAAACGAAAGGAACCGAGGTGCCACGCGTTCGAGCCGTTTCTCGCGCGTTCGAGCCTACCTCGCGAGGTGCCGCTGAGCTCGGCCACGGTGCCAGCCGTCACGGACGCCAATTTTGCCAATGGGGACTTGCCGAGCTATGTGTCTCGGATGAAGCCAGGGGGGTGATGGTTGGGGGTGCCGTTGTGTGTGGCATCATGGGCATCCAGTTCAACCACGAGATGAACCGCTGGGTTGACCAGCGGTTCCAAAGACTCAAAGCCAGCGGTTCCAAGCGAAACCCATGCCCTGTTCCGTTTGTACCACAAGCATCCGACAACACTTCCGTACCATGTACTTCAGTCATGAGCCGCCTTAAGTCAAAACCGGGCCAAACCCTATACCGATACCCTTTCTTGATTGAAAGTAGACTATTGCATGCCAAAGCACTGGAAACCGATAGGGGCCAACCTAAAAGACTTTTGGCATTGGAGACACCGCTCGAAGTTTCGTCCGGCGCGATCCACTGGGATCCACTGGGCCTGGGTGGGTTTTGCTCTGACCTCCAGACAGATGTCCTGAATGGACCCCGTCATGGACCCTGAAAACCACTCAATGTTACAGATGAGAATCCTCCAACAAAAACAGGGATCTCTTGGTCAAACCTGGCGCAGCCAAGTCTGAAGGGGTCTAACCTCCAAACGTCCTTCCGGATCTGTGTTGTCCTGGATGGACCTGATGGACACGATCTCTTCAAACCCTTGACCACATACACTTCCCCCCTACCCCCCCTACCGCTCAATGTTGATTCCCGGAGAGAACGCGCCGAATGGACGAAACGAATCAAACCCCGAAGGTGCCAACAAAAAGATGAGATTGCGGGTGTTTAACAGTGAGAAACCCTAACCCTAAAGCCTAAACCGAACTTGTAACAGATTTCGGGTGCGGGGAAGACATGAACATGTTGTTCTAGGGTTTGACTAGGTCGATCTACGCTCCTAGAGCGCATGAGAGAAGAGATGAGTCATGGATCTGGAGAGATCGGAGAGGTAGCGAGTGTTCGCACACCAGCAGGTTCTTTCCTTCAACACCCCTATAGTAGGCCTGCGTAGCTGCGTAGCTGCAAGAGTTTCCATCAGACGACGCGGAGACGACGCGACAGACCTCGCCGAGCTTCCTATCGCCTTCTTAGCAGGACAGCTTCTTGTTCGATGCTTGCTACACTTTCGTAGTGGCCATCAATGAGCTCCTCAAAAGTGTGTCTTGGCGACAAAGAGACGAACACGCAACTGGATGGTGTGCATGTCTTCTTTTCATGTCTGGAAAAAGAGGGACCAAACGAACAGACGATCATCAACCGTTTCGGAGGACCGTGTCGGGGTGGAGGGGTGGCATTCGACGACCCGTTCGACATCCCTAGACATCCGATGTCCAGCCAAGACACCCAGATGGTCGGACGGTCCGGAGGATTTCTGGATTGTTTTGGTTTGCTCAGTATAACTCGCCTGTGGACATATATATTCGTGCCATGCATGTGCGACTGCATTTGGTGTGATCAGGGCGTTGCTGTGGCCGATATCAAGCAGCAGACCTTGCTGGATCAAGTCAAGATCACGCAGTTTGAGGGCATTTCAGGCTGGAAAGAAAGGGCCATTGGATGTCTCACTCATGCCTCAGACCAGAAGTGGAACTCCATGCGAGATCTGAAAAAAACCCGTTATAATAGCGGAATCTTTGCTTTGCTAAGTTCATTGGGGACCATGCCGTAGGCGAATTGGGCTTTGTGAACGCTGAAGCACCACCAGGCGAACCCCCAAACATCATTCTCTGCTCCCAGTCAGTGCCTTCCTTCTTCGACTTCGCACCACGAGTCGACTTCGAACTCGAACTCAATCGCTCTTTTTGTCTGGAGGGCCTGTGAGCTTCAACGCGAATGGTGATCGTTTGGCCTCCTACGAGCTCTTGAACCAGCACCCGGACCGAGTCCCGAACGAATGATATTTGCGACCTGCGGTCGAGAGGGCCGGTCCGAAACTTGAAGTCAAGTTGAGCCGTCCACCAGGCGTCCTTCTTTGGGCAGCAGCTGAGAGATTGTTGGCAGAACAAAAAGGGTAACACATTCTTGAACACCCTTTGCTTTTTCCAATGGAAAGGAAAACCCTTCAGACATGGCTCTCACAGACATGGTGAAATCGCATCGGTTTTCGGATTGTTTGCACGATTCGTGCAGGACGGTTCAGGTGGAACCACCTTGGTGCAGGCTGGCATGTTCAGCGCCACCACTGGAGTCCTCACCATTCCAGGCGACCATTTGTCCGGATTCTGTGTTCTTCGCATTTATCATGTGAGCTGACGGGTGCATTTTTTGTTAAAACGCTTTATCATGTGAGAAGACGGAGATGCATTCAAGGCAGGGTACTCTGTTTGCAGAGGATAAACACATGGAATATTAAACATCCACTACTACTGCACCACGGGTCCATTCTCCAGTTCCATGTGTGCCCGCGCAAGCGCGGGTTACGGGTACTCTGTTTGTGGGAAGATGGTGATACCATGTGCCACCCACGAAAGGGGCGATCTATTTGCATCCGACAGGCCATGACATGCCAAGCACCGGTCACATGCCGAATGCCAAGCGATCTTCGCAGCTTCGCAGCTTCGCATTCTCGTTTCGGTTCATGTCCTAACTCAAAAAACCAAAGCTTCGTTCCAAAAAACAGCACCCAAAACCAGCACAGCCTCTGGCGCCATGTCACTTTCCTTTCGGCTCAACACTTCGAACTCGGCGCTTCCGGCGAACAGGTGGACAACTCTATTGGATGGACGGGCAGATTTGGCCAAAGCCTCCAGACGTCCTCACCAACTGCGATGCTGGCTTCTACAAGGCATGAATCATCGGGACGTGGCGTGACCCGGGCAAGGGACTAGACTAGACGGGTCCGTTGACTGAACTCGCAGCGAGAGGACGGGGTGAGTGGGTCCGGGTCGAGATGTGTCCTGGAATTCTGGCCATGTTGAAAGCGACAAGAAGCGAGCAATGAGATCACTTCCGCTCGTCTGGTCGTATGCCGAAGATCTTCCAAGTGCTGATGACCTCGTTGCCCTCGCTTGCCTGGCGTGCTTCGCGCTTTCCGCCTTCCGCACGTGTGCGAGGAGGAGACTTCTGGACAGTGCAAGGCTTGCCCTCGAGGTGAGCGGAAGACGGGGGTGGACGGGGCTGGTGGAAAAAGGCACGTTCGTTCGAGGCGCCCCGTGGTGATCCGGTGTGAGGCTTGCTAACTTCGAGTCAAGCCCTGACCGCTTTGAGGGTTCGAGCCCTGACCCGCTAGAGGGTCCGGACTGGTATCCTTAGGGAGGAAGACATATACACACTGTATCCTTCTGACAAATACAAGACATATAAACCAACGATGCCGTACTTGAAGAACCTCATAGATCCTCATATATACTCCATCCGATCCATCCAATCTCCTTCTGAGAAACTGAGAAAGTATCTATGCCAGGATGTTGTGATCATTTCCATTTCTGATTCCTTGTCTTCAGGCTTCCAATGTGCCGGCGGAGCCTTGCCCTACCAACAGTGCAGTCGTGGGTACTTTGCCAACATCACCGGCATGTGACTTGGCACCCGGGTCACGTGTTCCGACGCCCTGAGAGCTTAGCCAGGGAGACCCGCAAAAGCGAAGAAATGTGAAAAAAAGGAAAAACATGGAACAGCCAAACTGGGGGCCTCTAGAAACTCCAAGAAGTGCCATGGGCCGGCGAATGGACTTCACTGCAGCTTCCCAAAGAGGCTTAGTCTGTTTTCAGCGAGACTGAGACAGCTGGCTATTTTGTATCTCCTGAGCTGGTGGCGTTTTTCCACCCGGTGACGACAAGGTTGTGCGCAATGCGCTGTAGATGTGCACATCTTGATACCCAGACACTCCATGTCTGTCATATATGCCGATCAGTTGACCCCTCAAACCACCCCAATCTAGGTAAATATTCCATACCACTGAGGATCCTTGGATCCTCCTTAGAAGGGATCGAACCCTTTATAACGGGGGTTGGTACTTCTCAAAACCCTTGTTTTTGAGATGCTTGGGGTACATGGAGGGTCTGGGAGTCTGGGGGATTTCGATCCGACTCGGTGAGGAGTCAATTCGGCACGTGTACCCCACACGACCCCATTCGACTGGACGGATTGGTTCGCCCACCACGACCCCATGAAAACCGGTTTGCAGAACTCGTAGCACTCCGCTTGGGACCACAGAAAAGATACCTCACCTCCGTGAATTCCAGCACCATCCGCGGTTGAAAAGCACATGCACGCCGCAGCAGCTTCCCAGAAGAACGGTGGAGATTCTCGTCCCAATTTTGGAGGACCTGAGGAGGAAGAAGATCGTCCTCTGATGATCCCGTTTGGGCTCCGAACGGCTCATGTGGTGCAGGTTCGGTCGGTGGTTAGACCGGTTTGGTGGGGACTGACCCCCCCTGGCACCCACCCCAGTCCCACCTTCACCGAAACGGAGGGGGCGAACAGAGCCCAAAGGGGACCCACGAAGCTCGTCATGGCCCAGGGTGGAATGCTTGCCCTGTGCCGAGGGCTTCTTCGCTGCCGAGGCAGGGAGGCAGTACATATTGTAAAACACCCTAGTAGTAGCTTCTAGCTACTGGTAACACTTGCATCGCTACTAGTAACAAGGGCATTACTACCACTAACAAGAAGCTTCTAGCTACTAGTAGTAATGCACTTGCTACTAATAGCGATGCACTTGTGACTAGTAGCTTATGGAGTATATAGGCGATTCGGGGGTCATCTTCGTGGATTCATGGCCAAAGAGCTTCGGCGCAGCCCATGTTTCGAGGAAGGATTCGATGCACTCCGACGAACACATCACGTGGAAGTAAAAACCACCCTGTTGGCAAAGGAACATCGTCATCCATCCAAGAGTTCATGTTCCACTTCCATGTTAGTGAGTAAGAGGGTATGATTCTGTATGATTCGATCATTTTCATCTGGCTGTAGGTCATCTTAACCCGGAGCCCCCATCCACGTAGCAAAGGACCGGTGAAGCGGGTAGGTCAACCGGTCGGTATTCTCTTCTCTTTGAAGTGATCGTGCTTTGGGCGTCATTCAGAGTTCAGAGTTCCTGAGAATGAATGGCAGACCTCCAATCCGTCAGCGAATGAGACTTCCACGTGTTTCAGGCTCAGACGTTCAAGAAAGCTGGACTGACAGCTTTATCTTGTGGGGAAGAGGTGGCATGACACCAATGTAGACAGGCATCCTGTCAGCCATTATCATGTTATTAGTAGCATCGAAACCAACGTGTGCCCCCGAAGGCCAGGCCAGAGTCGAGACAGGCCATGGTCGACCAGCACTCCCGAGGTCAACTCACATAGACCCAGGTCGGTCCGTCCGTCCTGGTTTCATGGAAGACGAGAGGTGCTTCCAACCAAGCGACGTGGTGGTTTTCAGGGTCTATGGAAACCGAACTTCCAGGTGTACAGAAGGTTTTTCACTTCTGAGAATTACAGTGGTTTCAGAATAGATGGCACAAACCCACAGATGTCTTTCATATGGGGGTCCATATAAACCACCGAACTTGGGGATTGTGCTATCGAACCTCTGAAACCACTGTATGTGTTTCAGCTGGGCTTGGTACCTCAGGTGGGCTCTGCGGAATGCAGCCCTTGCTTGGCCGGCTTCTACATGGACATTACAGGGCAGGAGGCGGGTTTGAACGCGCGCGTGCGAGCTGTGCACAGCGCCATTCGCTGCGTCTACTTGGTGACCGGAGTGAAACCAGTGTTCTCATTTGACTGAAGCAGCTGAACGCATGTTCATGTTCATGTCAGTTAGTGAAGATAGCTGCTGCTCGCAGCAGATTTTGTATTTGGCTTCATCAAAGATGGACGTTGGCTTCGGGCTCCTGATTTTCGCTCATCTCCCTTCAAGACCCATTCACACATCCTCGTATTCTTTATAGACATCCCTAGACTGCATTTTGGTGTTTCTCCTTTTCTTTTTTAGTTTTATGGAATATATGGAGCACCCATGGCATGGATGATCTATTTGGCCTAAAATTGCAATCACTCTCCATCACTTGCCCTTTCTCACCAGACAACCAGCAGGCATGCAAGAAGTGCCCCAAGGGTACTTACATGCCGGACAAGCAGGCTATCCAATGCATCCCGCTCCGTGGCAAGCATCGGTCGATCTCGATCATCCCGTATACCAGTTACCCAAACGCTACTAATGGGACTGCCATAGGACTGCCGATCAGGCCAGGGGTGGTGCCAGGGGGGTCAATGGCATATATTGCATTCCATACATGGAGTGTCTGGGTTATGGGGCCGAATTGCAGGTGCTCGACCGCAGCACGCCACGCAAGCCGGCCGGCCAACGCTTGGTTTCTCCGAACAACGACGGTTTCGAACGGAACGACGGGATGTTTGGGGACTTCGGGCCTAGGCCCCCGGCGTTTGTATCCTGTTCGAGTGGTTGACGTACCACCAGTGAGTCTGCCCATCTTATCCATCATCCATTGAGATATTCTAGAGCGAGCGAGAGGGAGAGGGAGAGGGAGTGAGCGAGCGGCGAGCGAGCTAGCTTGCCATGGAGAGGTTCATCTTGGTCATGTAGACTGCAGACTCATTGATTAACAACACTTCCATATGAAGAGTGTTTTGTTTTTTGAATTTTAATGGTTTTACAATCTCAATACAGGGTTCTACAATCCCAAGAGTTTGACACCAATGGCTTCAGTTCCCAAATGCTCCGGGAGTGGATAGCATGATCTGGAGGGATAGCATGGTCTGCGTTTTGGACAAAGGATTGTGAAACACCGAAATCTCAGGGGTCAGCGCGCATGACGTTGTGTCCGGCATGAATTTCACCATGACAGTGCCCAACTTAAGACTGCTGCCCTCCCACAAGATAGGCATAGGCTGAACATAGGCAACCAGAAACGGCCCTCAAAACCATTCTCAAGCCTGAATAGCTGTAGAACCACTTCTGCTTTTGATGCCTCGAAGATTGGTTTATTCTCACAAAAAACTCTTGCAAATCCTCCAAGGCACCTCCCCACTTCGTTGCGGCAGAAAACAAGCTGCAACTTTTTTGTAGCTCTCCCCACACCCTGATACCAAGATACTAATTCAGATCACCCTCTGCCATACCATGCCCTTCCCCCCCCAAACAAGATGCTTAGTGACCTCACTCCTTTTGGTCCCAAACGCACTAGACTCGGGTGCTCAGCACTCCTCTCCCCTCACCACCGGTGCTCTTGCCACACCCGTACCGTCCGGTGCTCAGGTGCAGCATGGGCCAAGGTACGGAAGAGAGCGGAGCTCAATCCATGTCGGAGTGCCGCTGCGCCGAAGGCACCGGTGTGGGGGGGGGACCGCCCGGCCTGGCCGGCCTCGTTGAGGGATGACACCAGGGGGGGCCGGAGAAAGACACACCCGGCGTACACGGAACAGGTGGCCTTCGTTTCGCCCCAAAAGGCGCCGGTTCGGACCGTGGGACGTGTCGTCGTTTTTTTCTCTTTGCACCCTTGGGGGATGGCGGATGGCTTTCCATCCCATCACACCGTCGGCCGGACCGGTCTGGGTGCTGTTGTCCGCCGCGTTTAGTTCGCGAAGCGCGGTTGAGGGTCTCCGTTCGAGAACACAAGTCCATTTTGAGGCCTCAAATGAGGCCTGAACATGCCGGGCTTCCGGTTTTTCACACGGGTCAAAACACGGTCAAACACACCGGCTTCTCAGACAGCCCATTTCACGTGGCCCCTTGACACGAGGGTCGAGGGGGTACCGGGTACGAGGGTACGAGGGTCGAGGGTCTCGTTCTCTCTTTTTTTGCGGGGGGCACGGACGGTGCTTCTATCCCTATAAAGCTTTCTTTAAATTTGTTGAGGCCAGGAGCTAGGATCGTAGAAAACTTAGTTAACTATAGACTATAGTAGCGATGGCCTCCAATCCCGAAAAGCGATGGCCGCCACCGTGCCCAGAGGAAGATGGCCTCCATTCTGCTTTCTCTTTGATGGGCGCATTCGCCTCGCAAGGCAGCTTCCTGTGCAACTCCAGCGGCTTCACCGCCGGATGTCAAGCCTGTCCGGACGGACTGCAGTGCGCCGCTGGTTTGGACCCTCCGACGCAACAGCCGGGCTTTTGGACCAGTGGAGGAGATACGCACCTGGGCCAAAGGCTGCCAAAGGGACAACAAAACTGTGAGAGAGTGACTGTACCAGTGGGGTGTGTCTGGGAAAGGACATTGAAAGGAAAAACACATTGAAACGCTTGTAAATTGTAAACTTTTGATTCATAATGTAGACTCTTGATTAACAAGCTCTTCCATTTGAATTGGAAGTCCTCTTCATATGGGGTTTTATTAATCAAGGGTCTACAGTATGAACTCCTCCATTTTGATTGAACAACCTCTTCATATGGGGGGTGATTCATCAAGAGCATATGGCTTGTAATCCTAAGTGGCATGGATATGCAGGAGAAAACACCATGACTTCTGCTGCCACTGGCATACCAAGCCTCTTACAGGTGACAGGGAACGAAAGGGGCTTCGTGTGCCGTGTGACACTCTTTTCTCCTTTGGAGGCTCTTCTTTCTCACCAATGCTGGTGCTTCGTGTGTTTCTCAACACTCTTCCAGTACCAACAGTACCAAATGGCAGAGTTCATGGGACTTGGCGCGAAGAAATTTGGACTTCAGGTACTAACTATATAATATGATTTACCCTCTTCATCATTCTTCACCCGAAGGCACCGGATTCTCCCCGTTGCTCTCGAACGCCTGACTTGGCGTCGCGAACTCGCGCGGACCCTCGCGACCGTGGTGCCACACGTCCGGTGGTACCTGTCCTCGCCGCCCGGTACAACCCGACCGGAAGGGAACCGGGTCGTTCCAGCCGACCCGGTCACCCGACAGCGCCCGAGGTGCTCCTTCGATGTGATCCGCTGCCGCGATCAGTTGGAGTGTCCGGGCCAGGCCATGGGAGACTGCGCCCAAGGCCGCGAAGGAGAGGGGAGCGGAAGGGGGGGGGACCGGGAGATGGGACATGTGAGGGAAACCGCGGGGAAGCTGTTGGTTCCGGGTGTATGAAGGTGCTAAGAAGAAAACACGGGCGGAGGAGAGAGAGAGAGAGAGAGAGAAACAAGTGATAGGCGTGCAGTGATTTTTACGAAGTATATGATGGATTTGTAGATAGTGATTTGCTCTGGTTTGAAGCTGATCAGTGATGAGTTCTGAAGCTGAGCAGAGCTGAAGGGACAACGATCTGGGTCGCCCGGTCCCTCTCGGGGCGTCCGTCACCGGACAGGGGTCGTACGGCTCGAGGCTCGCGTGCCAAAGAGGTGTCTTAACCTCCATAGCCTCGTAGCTACCGAGGTTTTCTAGCTATATGTTCGTAGCTTCTTGTTACTGGTAGCGGCCTCCAAACCTACAAGCGATGGCCTCCAACCTAATAGCTTCAAGCTACTATAGTTACTATAGTAGCTTAGGGGTGTCCAGTCCAGCCACCGGACCATCGATCTCGGTGTCCGGTCCTGGGAGAGGTCCGGGTCCTCGAGTGTCGAATGACGCCAGGAATCGCATGCAACAATTGCGTCGAGGGCTACTATCCCCTTGATGACGGCACCTGTTTCTAAGCGGCGAGCAGACAGAGGCAAACTCGATTTTGCCCAGACACGACCCGGACCTGGGACTGCCAGGACGGACGGCCGAGAAACGGCCAGGGGTGGTTGACTGGGGGGTCAACTGATCGGCAGTCCGATGGCAGTCCCAGACTCGTCGTGTTTGGGTTGCGATCCTCGCCGCGCATACTTTCGAGCATCCTTTACCTTTGACCTTCAAGCTGCCGTCGGTCGTGCCGGCTGCCGTCGCTTTCGAACATCTTCTGTATACAAATTTCAGGATTCAAGTCTCCTGTGAATTTTCTGCTCTGCTATCCTCTTATCTGATCTTGTCCCCAGTCTCCAGTTCATCATTTTTTTTGGCGTTGCCCACTCCCTTCATTGATAATCGTATCCAACATCTGCCATGCAGGAAGTTGGCTTATTCCTTTGTCGGCAAGACTTGGTGTGCTGCACTTCGGTCATTTCACTTCCCAAAGGCGACCCGAACTCGGCCCCGAACCAACTGCTACCTGTTTTTTCTTCGGTCCATTTCGGTCATGTCACCCTAACAAACGCGAACGGGTTGGGTCCAATGAGCCCTTTGGGTTGTTTTGTTTTGTATGGGTGCCCACTATCCACTCACTTAGGGACTAAACACCACCCCGTCTTGTGACTCCTGGTTCATTTCTTCATCTCTTCGTTTCTGGAGCCGTTCCCATCCACGTTCCTCTTCGTTATAACCAGAGGTCCAGGCTCCAGACCGGCTTCGTTCTTTGGGTGTCACAGCTTGGGAGGATCCCACTTGCACTATGTACTGGTTTCACGAGTTTCCAGACTTCTTCTGTTGAAGGCGTGAACAACAGTTGAAACAGACCCTAAACCCTACATCCCCTGGCGAAGACAAACACACCTCCTCATGGATGCGGTATTTCTACCACTCAATCCCAGTGGTTGGAATGGATGCCCTCCCTCATCTTTTTCAGGCTTTTTCTCATCCTACCCACGCCTTGGCTCAGAAATACTATATACCATGTCATAAGAAATGAGCTCAATAGGTAGTGGACTGTCCCACTTAAGTATGGCAAGGTAAATGAAATAGCTCAAAAACCATCCCAAGAACCTCCCTCAGACCTCCCTAAGAACCATCCTCAGCATCCTCACGGCACGGCCTGACCGTCCGTCCGAGGCTTGCCTTGCGGACCTGGGGACTCCTTGCCGGCCATCTTCACGGGCATTGCTGCAGTCATTGCCGCCCGACTGCTGCAGTCATTGGATCGATGGTGGTGTTGGCATCCATTGGCATCGGCCAAGAAAAGGCCTGACAGGCCAGATAGGTGATGATAGGTGGATGTCAAGGACCCTCATTTTTGAGCTCCAAGCTCTGAACATGCTGTGCTTGGCTGTGCGTGGCTGAAGACGATCTTTAGCGTAGAATGACATGACTCCCTTCATCTGTAAATTCCAACTCGTTGCCTTTGCCTTTGTGCCGCCACGATGATGGGGTACCGAATGGAGAGGTTGTCACCCCACTCTTGCTGACACTGATTGACTGATTGGCTGAGATCATCATCTTTTTGCTCTCCTCAGTGAACGCAGATCTCAATCAGCACCTTGAAAGCAAGCTAATGATAGTCAATGAGTTGAAGTCATCTCAGATCTAGTGGCTTGGGTAAGTCGAAGATTCCTCCGAAACAGGACCTCCGGCCATCGGTAGCTGCGACATCGCCATTCAGATGATTCAGAATGCCAAAGAACACGTCGCCACGCGTTCATGCGAGCAGGAACACGGGTTTGGGAGCCGGACAAACAGCTGCGCGACGCGCATCGCCTCAGGCAGAGCCTCAATCTTCTCACGGTCGCCGCCGTTGGAAGTCAGATGGTGATGGCAGTGCAGGCGGGGGAGTCAGGGGCGCAGGGACGATCAGGTGGTGATGGCCTCCTAGATGGTCATCTCATGTCACCTAGCGCAGCATGGCATAGACTGCTGCATCGAGCTTCAACTGGAGAGTGAGACCTGGAGAGTGGTGCCTTTCTTTTGGAAGGACAACGCCACGAAAGCTAAGCGGCCGCGCGAAGCGGTGAGAAAGCAGTTCTGGGCATCGGGCTGAAGTGGTGAAACTTGTCACACCTCCAAGGACTCTTCTGAATATTTCTTGTTCACAGTGCACCTTTACCTATCAGCCAGGGCACTTAATGGGAGAAACAACGTGTCAACCAGAGAAAGCAGAAAAAACGGAGACGTCCTTCCTGAAGTCCTCTTTTCTCGTGCCTCCGTAACCAAACCGCCCATGTCATTCCCCGGTACCGCGGCATTTGCGCGGACGTGGTACAGCGCTCGACCGTCCCATTCGTTCGTTCGTCCCGTCGCGGGAAACCGAGTGTCGACGTGTGCCAGGCGCTGGGGTCCATTCGTCAGCTCTCGATCCAGTGGGTGGATCCCGTGCGCGAGATCATCGAGTTCACCAGGCCCTCCGAGCCTTCACCGGTCCGCGGTCCGTCCGTGAAGCGACGTCCATGGAGGCGAAAGGGGCGTTTAGCCAGTTGGCGTGGTTTCGGACGCAAAGCGCGGGAGGGTGAGGAGGTTGGTGGTTTCTTTAATAGTTCAGCAAGGTCTCATTGGAGCGGAAGAGGGCAGCCACCTAGCCACCTCCAAAATGATGTAGACCTCTGGATTCTATTCTATCCCTCCCAGGCCTTTTCAGAGGTTTTACAGGGTTCACAATCCATGTCTGGGGGGATTATTCATCAAGAGTCTACACTATAGAGGCAGCACACCTTTCGCTTGGACCATCGAAGCACACGTCCCAGGCTCTTGACCTTCGACTTTGACATTATTCGCATCTCCTGCATCACTGGCCAAGACAGCCACATGGTCACCCACCGGGGCCGCCAGGAAAGCGGTCGAGCCAAAAAAGCGGATCCACCCGGCACGACCCTTTTTTCCAGCACCCGACGCTAAAGGTTTCCGACATGGAGGCGACCTTGACGCAGGTGGTGACCTGTGAGGGTGCTGGTATATGTCCCAATGTATGTCAATGTCCTGAAGCTGTCATAGCAACAGAGGCTGAAGGACACGAAAAAGACTATCCCCCATAGGTCTCCCAGGTGACGGGTCCTATTAGGTCAATACCCGAGCTATGTCCTTTGCCGGGTTTTGTGTTTGTGAGGACCCCGCCATCTCCGCATGACAGCCGTTCGGAGTTCGGCCAGACGGACGATTGAATTCGTGCGTTCGAAAGGGGTTTTGCCGGAGACCTAGTGTGGCTTTAGCCGCTCGTTCTGAGGCCCAACCTTGAAGTTCTTGGGGCAATTGTTGGCATGCCCCATGGGTGCTTGCCACTGGGCAGAAGCGCCAACGTCGTCGGTTTCAAGTTGCGGAAAAAAAGCTCTTTTTTGGAGCTGAGACGGACTTACGAAGTGGGTGACGGAGTGGGAGTTGCAGCAGAGGGACATGTTACATGTTTGAAACAAAAGCCAGCAAATGTAGAGATAGTTGTCGGCTGAGTAGCTTCGTTGTGGCCTTGCTGGAAGCCTCAATCTCAATGCCTGCTAGAAAGAACGATGATTACCTCGAATAAGATGGGCTCTAAACACCCGCTGTTGTTGAGGCGTCATTGTCGTGGCCTATTTCGTGGCGAAGATGCGTGGGCGCAAGATGTCTTTGGATGCTGCTCCTTGTCACACACGGCCATGTTTGGGTGCACTGTGCCCTTGGGCCCAGCCAAGTACAAAGGAGAATCCCAGGTATGCATAGAACAGTTTCAGTGTTACACTGTGGGTTACGCATGTTTGTCCAAAGAAGCTAGAGTGTTCTAGCATACCAGGACTTGAAGGAGAGACAACTTTATTCATGATGCATGCTGTCTTGAGAACCGTTGTATTTGTTTGTTGTAGACATACAATCTACAAGTACACTAAATATCGATTTCACTCCATTCACTCTTTCGTTTGGTTCCAACCTTGGACCGGGTATCCAGCACGTACGGTCCAAACCTGCTGGTAGCCGGAGCAAGTATCCTGCTGGTAGCCGTTGCAAGGGCACCGAACTGCTTAAGGTCCCTGGCGTGTTGAGATCATGAAACATCTTCTACATACCTCTATATGACATTGTGCTTTACGCAATGTGTGCCTTCTCTCTCCCAGTTTTGATGTCCTTCTCGTCGCCGTTTTTGGTCGAGGTCTTCAATTACTGTTATATATGATGTTGTTCTTGCCCCTCCCAGACGCTCCATGTATGCCATATATATATATATAATATATGCCTACATTGACACCCCAATCCCCCCAAACGTAGGCATATCATATATATTCCATCCATGGAGCGTCTGGGCCTGGTTCTTTCGATGGAGGTCTTCCATCGGCAAGCGGGAACTGCTCCCTCCGTCGATGTGGCGATGGGTCATGGCCTTCGCCCCGAGCCCTCGCCCGACGAGTTCGTCCGACGGTCGGTGCCCATGACTAGTTCGTGCCCTTGTGGTGCACATGACTCAGCGAGCCATGTGGAGGTCTTCAACTTGAACGGGATTTTGCTCTTCGCTCTCTTCATCACCTTGACCTTGGCCGTGCTGGGCCCCTTCCAGTGCCTGGCCAATCCGGATGGCTCCTCCTCCATGGCGGCCAATCCAGGCACCCATCTTTTTTCAGGAAAGCCGGAGGGATTATGTTTTTTGGAGCCTCCTCAAAGAAAATATAGAGATCATAGAGTATCATGTTAGGGGTGTTGAAGATAGGGGAATCCACCACTGGACTATATAAGGTGTTTTAGTCCGGATTTTTGTTAGTTTTCTTTGAATAGGGAACTATCCACCCCTGGACCAAGGAATTTTTCCATGGTGTTTTATACATTTTTATACATCAAAGGACTCCAGGTTTCTACACACCAAGCTCGTGGAACCTAGAGCACCAGGGCTGCCCGGAGTTTTTCTTTTTCCATATTTTAAGTTCTCACGGTGCATTTTCTGGAAGCAGCGCCTCGAATCGTTTGAATTGGCTGGGTTGTTTGTTTGGTCTGGGCGGTTGACACTCTCCCGGATCTTTACAGTGGGCGGGCGGAAGAAGCGCCTTCGCGAGTGCCACCTCCGGGGGGCGGTGCCGTCAGCGGTGAGGCGTCCTTTGCTTCGACTCCGGCGAACACACGGGCCTCGTGATCCTCTCAATCCTGGGCGACTCGACGGGACCGACCGGACTCGGCGGGACGACAGAAGAGAAGTGCCACATGAGGATTGAGCATGCGGGAGGTGCGCTTTCGAATCGAATCGACCAGACGCATGGGACCGGAAGAGAAGTGATACGTCTTCATGAAGATCGCTTCTGGAAACCGATGCATCACTTCTTGTGGATCAGTTACATGAGTGATACATGAAAAGAAGCCCATGAAACTGATCCACTCATGTTCGCAAACGCGTCCCAGTCCTTTGTGTGTGGGAGAGCTCGCCTTTTTCAGCGACGCCGGAGCGTCGAGCTTCGTACGGCCTCCCAGGGCCGCCGTTGCCCAAGGGGTGGCCGACTGAGGGGGCTTCGCTGGGCAGGGGGGTTCGGCTGTAGGCCGCTGAGCGGGCTGGTCGCGGCCTGGTAGGCGCAGGAAGCTGTTGGTTTGATCGGCCTTGAAAGGGTTTCATGCCGCGAAAGGGTGTTCTCGGTCAGATGCCGTTCCAGTCCGTTTTGACCCATAGCGAATCGTAGCTGTCATAGCTATTTGCACATTTTGACCCATTTATATATAATTAGGATGAGAAGTGTAAAACACTTCTCTGACGCCAAAAGCACGACCGTTTCTAGGAGCCGTCCAGCCGGCTTCTTGGAGCCACAAAAATGTTTTTGGCTTCTGCACCGCACCGCTGGGACGTCCCAGGCATCATTTTCTACCCTTTCACCATCTTGACGTGGGCGACTTACACGACGGTGCCTGGGCGACCTCCGCGGTCCGTGACGTCTGGGTCTGGGTGGGTCTGGTGGGTCGGGGGGGTCGGAGGAGACGTTGGGTCGGAGGAGAATTCCCAGGTCCCAGGAGGCCCCAGGTCAACAACAGCGAGGCCAGGACTCATAGGACATTTGGAAGACATGAAACTGAGCCCTTGTGAAAAGAAACCGGCCTCAGTCACTCCTGGGCACCCCAGGAGGACAAGACTCGCTTCGGAGGGCACCGGAACAGTGCCTCACACCGAATGTTTGGGTCTCGGGCCGAACGTGAAGCGCGAGTTGGTCATTTTTCTCATTTTACTGGAGTTGGTCATACCAAAAAAGCAACTGCTCAATGTTTGCTTTTCAGGATCCGAAAGGCCTTTTTCCTTCTTCCAGGACCTGGGAAGTCCCCTGTTAATCACGAACCCGCGTTCGACTCCGAAAGGTCGGTGAAGAATGGGTTCTTTTTTTTGAGCCACAGTCAAAATCCGAGCGGCTAGGTTTTACATAAAATGGATCATTTTGGGTGGGATCTTGCAGAACGAAGCCGGGAAACAACAACGAAGGTTGTTGGTGGGATGTTTGCATGTGTATCCTCTTGGAGTGCATGAAACGTGGTGTCTCCAAACGAAGCCAAACGAAGCCCAAATCCACGAAAAAGTGTCCTTTGTAGACCCCGCCCCAAATGCCCCGTACTGTAAGAAGTTCCTTTGCTGCTGGTAGGTGTTTAAAGAAGTTCATTTGCTGTACTTCACATTGTGAAGGTCTAGTGGCAATATAACTCACCTGGTGAACAAACAGAGCATAGCAGCCAAACTGGTGCAATTCCCTGAAAAACGAAGCCGGAAAACCAAAAACGAAGCCTCAGTAGAACCGATCATTTTTTCCTTTTCATTTTGCCGGTCGCTCATATGATATGTTCTAATGGTTTTGTGCCAAGAACAGGGAGCTCTTTTTCCTGATACTTTTTCACCAACGAATGCAAACATATGTGAACATAGGGCAGACACTTGGTGTACTAGGGGATTGTCATCCACATTTTACCATAAGCACTTCCGGAAAAAAGAAGAGAAACAAGCACACACCCTCCAATCAAGGTCCAGCCACTACCTGTCTGTTTGCTTCATTCAAAACGCATGCATTTGTTCGCAGTGTCCTCGCTCGTTCAAGGTCAAGTACCCTTCACGCATCAACTCGGGGAGAGGGCTTCAGCTGGTGAATCGCTACCGCTTCCTCTTCCAGCGCTTCAAGCGGGGGCTCTGAGCAGAGCGTGTCGTTTAAGCTTCTTCATCGCCTGTTGATAGCGCGTGCATGAACACCCATGAGCCATTTATTGCCTTGTGTATGTGTTTATACACCACACACACACACACTGGAGGGGTTGTTTTCAGGCAGAACATTCGAAAGGCATCGAAAGGCTCATTTGTAATTCCAACTCTTGCTTCTTTTTCTTCTTCTTCTTCGTCTTCTTCTTCTTCTTCGTACCTTGATCATCACCTCTTCACTTCACCTTTCATCTTTCTTTTTGGCCGGGTCCACCTCACCGGTGGCTTCTACCTCCAGGCCCGAGTGCTACTACTACGGCCTGGTCTTGCTCTGGCGCAATGCCTTCGTGGCTCTCTTCCCGGTGCTCTTCGTGGCGGTTCCAGAGGTTCAGGCGGGGCAAGCGCGATGCAGACGCACGCGACGTGCGCTTTTAGGCGGAGCCACTTCGGAAGGATAAAAAGGTGGTCCGAAATCTCTTCAGAGTCCACCGCCCAGTCCACCAAGTCAGCGCGGATGTCCGTCTGTCTTCTCTCTTATCGAACTTGCGAATGGGCGAAGGGCTGCGAACTCGCTCGCGACTCGCGACTCGTGCCAGGTGGTTTTGATGGGTGCCCTCTTCGTGTGTGGTGGTGCGCTGCAAGTGCGTGTGTGGCCCTGGCGTACGGAGCAGGCGAGACCTCGGTTTCTCCGGTCGACCTCGGCCGGTCGGCAGAGGTTTTAGAATCCCCATGGGGGTGTGACCAATCAAGAGTCTAGAATACTGCCAGAAATATGATGCAGCAGTTGTAACTAGTTGGACGCGGGTCGCGCGATGCTAGGATGTTCCAATAAAGTTCAAGCTTTGCGGATGTTGAGCGGATTTTTCAAACAGGCGATTTAACGAAGCATTGCTTCGTCGACGGCGTTGTATAACAGACCTTTTGGGTACATTCCGCGCCAGTCTTTTCGAGAAAGACACTCCCGTTTGATCTCCTGTACTCGCTTTTGGGGTACATGTGCCAATTTCAACGCAAGGCACAAGAAGTAGGCACCTCTGTAGAAGCCTTCTTTGCTGAACAGATAGAACTTGAATACAGTCGTGCATCTTTGAATCCCCTCTAGACATGTATTGGACACCGTTTCTATCTATTTGGGAATCTATCTGACTATAATATAGCACATGATATATGAATATATATATATGACATTATATATATATATTATATATATATAGCTACTTTCCACCTCGCCGGCTCGCCCTGTCGCTTTGAGCCAGGCCAACTATGCAGACCTGGTGATGACCTCGTTGCTTCAGGTGGTGCTCTTGGGTGCCGCCCCATTGCTGGAGATTGATGAGGCGACGATTTTGGTTTTACATTTTTTTTGGTTTCCTTTCTTTTTTATGTCTTTATCTTTTCTTTCTTTCCCAGACGCTCCATGTATGGAATATATGCCGATAAGTTGGGGTGGTTTGGGGGGTCAATGTAGGCATATATGGCATACATGGAGCGTCTGGGTTTCTTTCTTTGTTTATGTTTTTCTTAAACCTGAACTACTGGATGATTTGTTGGTAGGTAGTAGATTGATGAGGTGCTCCTTTTGACCACCGAAGCTTAAGGATGACCTTTTTTTTAAGCAAATGGATTCGTAGAGGTGGCCAGACATGGCTTGCAGCAACACTGGAATTTGGGGAACCCTCGCAGATGCTGGAACTCCTAGGTCTACAAGATGCTGTTCCCTGCGTGAGCAACAGTTGTAGCGTGGAAATGTTTGCTGCCTCATTTGAAGATTCTCCCCAGGTTTGCTCACAGAGTAAAGAAGGGGGGAGGCTGCAACTGGTTTCATTGCTGGCCTTGCACGCGATTCTGTTGAATCTGGCAGCGCCAGCATACTCCACCATCACCCCACAAACCCTGGCTCCACATGAAGCACTTGGCATGGACATTTTCAGGACCGAACTCCCCCAAGCTCTCCTAAGCTGTCTTCGGCCTCGGGCGGCAGCAGACCGGGAGCAGACCCCAACGGGCCGACCCCAGGCGAACAGCACCGAAATCCTGGGATGGCTCCTCTGTGTGGCGGTGCTGGGGCCCTTCCTAGCAGGCATTGGAGCCATCTGTTCCTTCCCCAGCAAGCTACAGTCTGCGCCTTTCACGGGCGCGTTGAGGCTTTCAGCGTGGCGTTCCGAACCAGTCTGGGAAAAGGTTCGGCGAATGAACTAGCGCCGCAGCTTCAGATCCGTTTTGCTTTCATGCGACAGTCACTGAGTTCATCTTGGAGGGCAATTTTTTTGCTTTCTCCCTCATTTGCCGTGCCTGAGGTTACTCCATTTGGCGCCACTTTCAACCCAGCAACGTCTTTGGCATGTTCCTGTGCCACCACAAAGGAGGCACTGACGATGGGTTTATACACACAGCTCATATAGTGCAACAAGTGCATGTTTGTGGAGCCAACCATGTCGGGATGCCATGATTCAGGAAATCTAGACAGTCTTGTTGAAGAACTTTGAGCATTTCCCGACAGGTGCTGGCAGTCTGTGCCGCCTCATCAAGCTTCTCATTTCCAGGCTGAACGCGGAATGTTTTGAAATGAGCCTAGTCTAGTGCTGATGGAGGTGTTGTCGGATAGCACCGTATCAACATGAAGCCGGCGATCTTTGTGAGATACTGGCCGGAGGAAGTACTGACTGCTTTTCCTCTGGCATTGAGTGGAAGAATGGGGACTTTCACACATGTGGACACCTACAGCTCCCTCTCAAAATTCACATACATATACCAGCTGCTTCCGGTCGGGGTTACCTGGCTGGACAACCCTTCACTGCTTATAGGTCACCAGACAGGACACCCAAAATGGAAGCGCCAGGTAGAGGACAATATTTGGAAGCCCATGGCCCTGCCCCTGGTCTCTCCTTTTCCTACTTCTATCGACCTGTCACGCGTCACAGGCACAGCAACTGCAACGTCTTCTTGGATTCGGCCCCACGTCTCTCAGTTCTGCGCCGGCGATGTGTTGGGTAAAACGGCCTGGATGTGCTGAGGGTGCGATCGTAGCGTCCTTGTTCCTCGTAGTAAGGCCAGGAGCCCCGATCGTAGCGTCCGAACGTTCCAGGGTGGTTTCTTCTATTTTCCCTGTCCCTCAGAATCCTTGCGCGAAACGCAGGGGTCCGGACTAACCTCCACCGAGTTACGCGGTCCGGACCCGGTGCCCAAACGAATCGCTCGGTGACCGCCCGGTGACCGGCTCTCTTGGGTGACCAGATGCCATCCAGATGCCATACTCGCCATGATGACCCAGTTGGTTGTCCGGAAGGTAATAAATGATGTAACAGGCGATATCCTGGAAGTTGGGACAGATATCGAGACAGGGCATTTGCATGGTGGAAGACCAAGGATCAATTGGAAGACCTTGACCTTATCTTCGATACCATTCGTGCCAACACGAAGCATCTCGGATGTGATTCACTCGCTCCTTCTCGGCCTCAGTAGCTGGCACACCTCGCTCGCTCGGTGATCGGTCGCGGCACAGATGTTTGATGTCTGTTTGTTCAGAGAAGCCGAGCTTTGGGAGTCAAAATATATAATATTATATATATACCCTGGGAGTCAAAGACTTCTACCCTGGGAGTCAAAATATAGTCTTTGGACTTCTAGGGTATAACATTATATATATATATTTACATTATAGAAGGAATTGGGATGGCGAGTTGA